TATATATATATATATATATATTTATAAGTAATTTTAGTAGTCCTTTATTGGAGAAAGAACCCCTATTTATAGGTTCAATGGGTATCAAACAAAATTACATATTTGTCTTTATTTTCATAGAGATGTTTCTATTCATCATTACACCTTTTCATATTTGTAACTGATATTGGCGTCGTTTCGTATTTATAACTACATGAAGATGAGCATTTAATGGTGTGTTAGAGTTGTCATTCGGTTGGATGAAAGGTCTTCGATCGACCCTCTCAGGAGAATTCTGAGTAAACGCCCTCGTGCCTTGAGGGTGAACTTAGGCAGTTGGACAAAGGGTATATCACCGTAATCTAATGGCAGTTCTCTTTGAGCAAGGGGCCTTCTCAGAGAATCAGGAAAGCGTTCTGCGAAGTCCCCTTTGGCCATTTTGTGAAGAATTTTGGGATTTTTTGAGGGAGTTGGTCACGAACAGCTTCTTGGATTAGATGTCTTCTATTCATTCGTTTGATTGTGCTTTTGTTTTGTCATCTCAGAGTTCTGATCGAAAGAAATGACGCATGATGTTTCTGTCTTTTGAATATTCTGATACAATATCTGTTGATGTTTATTAAAGAGACCCATTGGATTTCCTCGAGAGTCGTTTGGTCATATTTTTATATACATATTTAGTTCTCGATTCTCTTCTTGAAAGCGACAACTGTGATATGAATAAATAAATTAAATGCAAAAAAATGATTTATTTATTGCGTAATAAGTACATTTAATAATTGAAATTTTGAGATTTTTGTGTCAGCAATCTCTATAAATAGGGTGTGATCAGCACTTCTCCATCACTCCTTTTGAATTTTCTACCCTTCAGTCGATTGTTAACATGGGAGAGTTATGGCAAGTTGCAAGAAGAAATTTGTAAATGTGGAAATCATAATGAAGGCCTTTAAACTTTCTACTAAGAAAGTTTGCCCTCCCGAGGATAAAGGATAGAAAAAGAAATCTAAGAGTTGTCGACCCGTAATAGAGAAGAAACCAGAGGATGAAGGCTGACCCATAGTAGCTATGATGCTAAAGGGAGAGGTTTAGGGTCGGCTCAAAGAGGCTGGAATGAGCGAGTCGATCGAAGGGAGAGAAACGAGTTAAGCAAGTGACCCAGAAGAAGCAAAGGTTGAAGGAAGCGGTCAAGTCGTTTGACTCGATGTCGCTCCATCATGAGATGGGGAGTGGGGCCAACGAGTACGCTACTAGTGTGATAGTCCTTCCCTTGGCTCCGAGCCATGAACAATCTGCTCAATAACCGGTCTAGGAGGTCGTAGAGACCTAGGTTCAACTATGCAAAGGTGCAACTCCCTTTCCTTTTTACAAGTGAGGCCAGTCATGCGACTGTCCAACAGGTTGTTGGTGAAAGCCTCCGATCGTAAAAAATGGAGTGAATCATTAGTACAAGAAAATTCAGTTTTCTTTAACTTGGTCTAGGAGGTCGTAGAGACCTAGGTTCAGCTATGCAAAGGTGCAACTCCCTTTCCTTTTTACCAGTGAGGCCAGTCATGCGACTGTCCAACAGGTTGTTGGTGAAAGCCTCCGATCGTAAAAAATGGAGTGAATCATTAGTACAAGAAAATTCAGTTTTCTTTAACTAGGTAATTTTTTTTCCTTTCTATTTGAATGACATTGATTATTCTTACAAAGGAGACCGTCCATTATATCGACTCATCGATAACTAAAGCCGACTAACCCTCTACTTTAAAGATGGCCAAGGGACCTTCTATTCTGAACCATGGTGGAGGCATACCTGGTCATTTGTCTAGCCATGAGGACATCAAGAGAGAGACCGATGGTCGGCGAGGATTTCCAAGTTCACTGGCTTACTAGATAGACAACATGGTGGACTCCTGTTGACCTCAATTTTTGTTGAGGTTTAGTTTTTCCTCTTTAGTAACCTAGGGTCTAGCCATAAGACTTTTCCTGTTGACTATTCCTAGAAAACTAGACATGAAACCCTCATCACTAGAAATTCCAAACTTTTCTCTACTCAACTTGATGTTCCACATATTGCTCTCAACCTCTAAATACTTAGTAGGTGGGGTCACTGTGGGGGAAACTCAAGATGAGTCACCCTTAGGATTGCTGGACCTTAGGGTTGACCTTGGGTGTAAGTCTAGAGCTAAGGCACTCATTACACTTATCTGTACCCACAATCAGTCACAACCCTGAACTCAAATTTCTAACCTAGATCCCTTGATCTTTTGGGATACTCATGTAGATGGTCCCCTAAATCTACTAGCCCTAGGGCTATAGTTTAGCTAAGACCACTATGTAGAGGACCCAAAATGGGGTTTCCTTTGGTCCATGGCTTATTGGTGATGACTGGCACCTCAACTCTACCAAAATACCCATCTTG